GGGGGGGGGGGGGGTGTTAAATGGCTATTTTCTTTTAAATCCCAACAACTTTTTTTAAATAGCCAAACGACTAGTATTTTTTAAAAACAATTACCGTTGGGCCCTCCAAGGGACAGGTCCGGTCCCGATCCCTTGGCGGGACCGGTCCTAATGGTTCCTAGGAAAGAAACGCCCCACCAGACTAGCCCAAGCCCACTTCAACCAGTCCTACTAGTCCCGGCCCACTTAGCCTAGGGGGCTCGGGCCGGCCCACTTGCTACCCGTATCTGAAGGTAATCTCATTATCCAAGTTTATGTTGATGATATTATTTTTGGTAGCGCTAACTCTCTCCTATGCAAAGAATTTTCTAATCTCATGGAGAGTGAGTTCAAAATGAGTATGATGAGAGAACTCACATTTTTTTTTGTACTCCAAATTCAACAATCGGAGAAGAGAACATTTATTTGCTAGATCAACTATACAAATGAATTGATTCAAAAATTTGGCATGAGTAATGCTAAAGAAAATTGGTACACCTATGAGCCCGTCAACAAGTCTTGAATCGAGTGGATGAAACTAAATACGGTGGGATGATTAGATCCTTGCTTTATTTAACTACTAGTAGACCAGATATTATATTCAAGAAATCACATCTGACAACAGTAAAGCGGATAATTCGCTATCTTATCAGAACTATTTCTTATGGTCTATGGTATCCACGATCTAACAATTTTAAGCTTGAAGGTTTTTCAGATGCTAATCTTGCAAGGGATAAAGAATACAGGAAAAGCACCAGTGGAACATGTCAACTACTGGGAAAAGCATTAATTTTCTGGAACAACAATAAACAAGGTTTAGTAGCACTATCCACAACTGAGACAGAATATACTGCTATTGGACAATATTGTGCTTAATTACTCTGGATTTCTCATCAACCGGCTGAATATGTACTATCTTTTAAGCCTATTCAAATCTTCTGTGACAATTCTAGTGCTACATGTCTTTTAAAGAACTATGTGCATCATTCTAGAGCTAAGCATATAGGTATTAAGCATCATTTCATTAGAGATCATGTCCTTAAAGGGGATATAGAATTGATGTTTGTTAGCACAATTGATCAATTATCAGATATTTTTACAAAGCTTTTGCTTGAAGATAGATTCTGTATTCTAAGGGAATTACTTGGCATTACTTAGCTTAGTATAGAAAATTAGGACCTATGTGTTACTTTTTAATTCTATATATGGTTATTTTTCTATTTTTGTATATGTGTAAGAAGTCATTAATTATATGCCTTCGTTTTTCCTCTCTTTTCACATCGGTCACAACTCTCTAGAAAGGAAAATCAATCATCATGTCCTTTCACTGATGCTTTTTCCTTTTCTATACTCAACCATCCAATCCCTTCCTTTTAACCCTCTAAATCACTCACATTCCTCCTTCATTGGTTCTATCACTTAGAAACCCTCTTCCAAAACTCATCAATGGCGAAAAACTCCAAAAACCCCTCTGCCTCCACTCGGAAAAGCACTCGTTCCAGGGCAAAACCTTCCTCTCAGCCCCCAGAACCAATTCATTTAGGTTCCTATCATTCTGAAGGCTTTGCCTCTTCTCAGGCAGAGCTCTCTGATAATACATGTAGCCTAAACGAGAAAGCCCTTGGAAAATGACCCATGGAAGAATCTCCTGAATCTTTTACCCCAAAGAAACCCAAAGTAGACCTTTCGAGCTCTTTAGAGTCTGACATCAACTTCTAGGATACTCCAAACAGAGATACCTTCATTACCTTCAAGACAAGCCTATAGCTCATGGCAGAGTGATCGATTTGAATGATATGGAAGCCCTGTACTACAGGTAAAAGAGCTTTTCGATTTCCAAGGTTGGTCAAACTTTCTCTCTCTACTGCCTCCAAAAGTCTATGAATCCCTAGTTAGGTTGTTTTATGCTAATATTCGTTCTCCCAAGCCTGATAGGTTGGAATCTCTAATTCTAGGGAAGCACATTCTTCTAGATTGTGCTATGTTTGACTCAATGTTTTAGTGTAAGTGTTTTGGTTTCTCTATTATTTTCAAAAATACATGGCCTGAACATTTTGAAATTACCTTTGATCAAGCAAAGCGTTGTATAGCCGAGTCTCCCTCTGATTTCCTTCCTAATAAGTTAGGTCCTAGTAATGTTAGTTTTGAAACCCCGGTCCTCGCACACATTGTAGCAACAACCCTTCTCCCTCGTACTGGTTCATTCTCCACCTTTTCTCGATGGGATACCTTTCTTATTTATTGTCTAGTGACCAAGCATAAAGTTAAATTGTCTTCTTGGGTTATAAATTTTATTATTGAAAGTACCGATGATCCTACTATTCTTCCCTACGGTATGGTTATCACTTATCTCCAGAAGCCCATAACATCTCTATTTTTAATTACCCATTTGTCTCTGTCACCAGATCTTACAATTCTAGAGCCTTTGCTAGTATGGGGTATGTTTTTGTTAAAGGTACCTGGGGAAATAATCAAGAAGGAGAGATTAAGGATGTTCAGACCAAATCCAAAGCTAGAGTATCTGGTTCCCATCTCGATGTGTGTGATCCTGAACTTGTGGAGAAATTGACTGCTATCGACAACAAGCTGACCATCATCAAGGATCTTCTTGTCTCGACTCAATCAACCATTGCGGATATTCATGACATCTTTAAGAAGACAGTGTCTGATTTATCAAAGATAAGGGTCAAGATTCTCAAATTAGGAGAGAATATAGTCAAATCTTTCAAGGAGGTGCATGACAGGATTGATGGGGTATCTGTTACAGTGAATGCTAGCTTTTGATCGTCTGAAGGAGGCTATCTACAATACTCTCACTTATTTTTTGTGTCGTTAGTTGTAAATGGGTGGATTTTTAAGGCAATATTTTCTTTCTGTTGTTTTTCTTTTTGTTATTTTGGGCTGGTCCACCAGTCTTTGACTGTTTTGGTAGGACACTCACTATCTCCGCATGACTATCACTGCACTCCTGCTTAGTTTGCTTGGAATATTTCTGTTTTCAGTGCTTCTTTATGTTTATATATTGTTATAATGCTTTTTGTTGATGCCAAAAGGGGGAGAAATAAGTTTACATGTAGCATTTTTTTATGACTATCATGTTGAAGGGGAGTCGACTGCTACGAGTATCTTGCACTGTAAGTATACACATCCTTATGTTTATCCTGTTGAGGGGGAGTCAACTACCCCGTGATGCTCAACCAAGTAGAAGTCAACTACAGCAAGAAAAGAGTCGACTAAACATGGAAGTAAACTGTTTTTATATATGTTATTTTGTCATCATCAAAAAGGGAGAGATTGTTAGATCTAGATTTCAATGATGAAAAATAACATATCTTTATTTGCAGGATCATTCAAGACGCAAAGGAGGATGCGAACAAGTCGGTCAATGATATACGAAAGAAGACAAGTAAAGAAGGAGTAAAAGAAAGGAATAATGCAAAGATTTGTCAACAGAAACAAGAAAGGAAGGTCCAAGAATAAAGAGATTTGTAAAAGATACGACAACCCGAATGATGGTGTAATGACCCGGCCGATCGTTTTGAGAGTATTAGCCACGATCCCCTATTTATTGCTCCCTCTATTTCATTTTGTGATTACGTGACTTGCTGGGATTCCTGGCATCGGGTTCGGGAGAGTTTCAGAGTGGAATGGGACACATAGTTCCTAAATTGGAAGTTTAAGTCATAGGAGTTGACTGTAGTTTGTTTTGTGTGAAAACGACTCCGAAATGGATTTTTAATGGTTTCAATAGCTCCGTATGATGATTTTTGTCTTAGAAGCATGCACGGATGTTGATTTGGAGGTCCGTAGGTCATTTTGGCATAAATTGGCGAAAGTTGGAAAATTGGTGGAATTTTAGGATGTTTGACCAGGAGTGGACTTTTTGATATCGGGGTCGGATCCCGATTCCAAAAGTTATAATAGGTCTGTAATGTCAATTATGACTTGTGTGAAAAATTTGGTGTCAACCGGAGTCGTTTTGGTATGATTCAGCATTGGTTCCAGAATATGGAAGTTCATAATTACTAAGCTTGATTTTGGGCTGTGATTCGTTGTATTCGTATTGTTTGATGTGGTTTTCAGCCTCAAGTAGGTCCATTAAGTGTTTTGGAACTAGTTTGTATATTCGGAGAGGGTCCCGGGGGCTCCAAGTGTGATTCGGATCGTTATCAGATCAAGTTTGGATTGTTGAGAATTCAGAAGCTGGGTTGTTCTGGTGTTATCGCACATGAGGAGGGATTGACCGCAGGTGCGGGCTCGCAAAAGCGAGCTAGTGATTGCAGGTGAGAGAATGGCCTTGCCCAACGGTGGTCACAGAAGTGGGAAATTATCCGCAGATTCGCTTCGATGGCAGGTGCGCAGAAGCGCCAATGGTCGCAGGTGTGATCCTTTCCCCTGCAGAAGTGGTCTTGCAGATGTGAGCCCCTATCCGCAGAAGGGAAAGCCCTGGACTTAAGTATTTTCAGCACCTGCAATGATTTTCCGCAGGTGCGGCGTCGCAGAAGCGCTTATTAGGCCGCAAATGCGAAAAATGCTGGGCAGAGATGTTATATATGAGGGTTTGCCATTTTCTTCATATTTTGAGATATAGAGCTCGGATTAAGGCGATACTTTGAAGGATTTTCGGAGGAATTATTGGGTAAGATTTCTTAACTTATTTTTGATTAAATTCCACTAATCTATCTTCGATTTCTTCATCTAATTAAGGATTTGGGTTGAAAATTTGGGGAAAAGGTGCAAAAGTTTGTAGACCAAATTTTTGGGTTTTGAAAGGCTAAATGAGTTCGAATTAGGTTAATTTTTGTATGATTGGACTCAATATTGAATGGTGTTCGGATTTTATAATTTTGGTCGAATTCCGAGACGTGGGCTCGAGTCGACCTTTTGGAGTGATTTTTCAATTTTTTACTAAAGTCATAATTTTATTATTTAAATTAGTTTCTTATAGTTATATTGATAGTATAAAATTATTTTAGGTAGATTCGATCCGTTCGGAGTTGAAAATTCAAGGGAAAGGCCTTCTAGTTGATTGATTTAGCATGACTTGAGGTAAGTGACTTGTCTAACCTTGTGTGGAAAAAATTCCTCTTAGGATTTGGTACTATTGTGGCAACTTGTGATATGTAAAGGCCGTGTACGCAAGGTGACAAGTGCGTACACGGGCTAGACGTTGAAAATCCGGTTTTAGCTAAGTAGTTTCCTTTTTATGCCTTAACTGAGTTACTTTAGTATGTATAATCACCATGTTTAGCCTAATTTCACATGTCTACTTGTCTTATCTCTTATTTGTAACTTGCACTACATGCTTAGTTGAATTACCTGTTTTCTTGATTCCGTATTCATTATTTAACTGTGAGATTCCTTACTTGAAATTTCTATCCTTGAAATATCATTGTTTCAGTTGTTATGTTTTGATTTTCGTAATTATTGTTGAGGCGATTGTTGTTATTGTTGTACGAGATTTCTTTTGTGTGGTTGTTTTGTGGCACGAGGTTTCTGTTATGTCGTTGTGATTATTGATACGCATGCTGTGGTATAAGGTCTGGGTGTTGAAACACATGCGGTGAGATAAGGTGGGCTTGATACACGTGGCTAGTAGGGGAACTACTAGAAGTCATGCGGTGTGATAAGGTGGGCTAAAATGCGGGATGCTATTTCGGGAAAATATTTTTTCAAAACAAAATATAAAGGCTCCCGCGGTGATATAAGGAAAGACTGTGAGATATTTTACTTTTATGACTACGAGGCGGTACCTCGGGAGTGCCCCTGTTGATTTCCTCTATTTGCTGTATTGTTTGTTGTTGTTTTCCTTAACTTGTAAGATTCTTGTTTCCTTTCATGTTGTATTTGTTTTTCTTTGATTCCGTGTTGTTACCTTCCATAAATTCTTATTGTTTCACTCACATGCCCCTCTAATTATGCCATTATATCTTCTGCCTTGTTCTTATTATCTATAGTAAGGCCGTGACCTGACCTCGTCACTACTCTACCGAGGTTAAGCTTGGCACTTACTAGGTACCGTTGTGGTGTACTCATACTATACTTCTTCACATATTTTGTGCAGTTCCAGGTACATCTTATCAGCCTCGGTGTTAGTGTGTGGAGTGACTTGTTTATTGGAGACTTTAAGATACACCCGCCCACGCCCACAGGCCTCGGACTCCCCTTCTATCCCATTTTTTCCTTGTTTCTTTATGTTATTGATAGAGAGTGATGCATAGGATTATGCAACATTGTATCTAGATCTTGTTACTTATTTCTTATCGGGTTTTGGGAGTTGTATAGATATTGAGTTGCGGTTTTTATTTTATACAGTTGTTGACGTTTTGAGCTTTTAGATTATTATTTCAATCATTTCACATGCTTGTTAGGCTTACCTAGTCTTAGAGACTAGATGCCATCACGACATCCTAAGAGAAAAATTTGGGGTCGTTACAGATGGAGTATAAAGAAGGAAGGACCAAGATTTGATGAGATCTAGATTGCTGAAATTGCGTCTGCTTAGATTACTGAGATATGCGTTGCAAAGGAAATATATCAACCCCTTAGATCAATGAACAATCTAGGGACCACTCACACAAGGAGATTCTCTTTCAAAAAGGAAATACCTGAAATCAAGAACCAAACTAAGGAAGCTCTGCATTTATTCTTCGAATGAATCATAACAGATTCAACTCCAAGGATCAATTCCCTTGGGATCGCAAATCTCTCAACGATCTACCGAAATCAGTCAAGCCAAAGTTCAAGTATATATTACAGATTATCAAGGAAGAATCACATAATTTGATCAAACCAACTTTATACTCTTTGTTCTACTCTAAACAAGTATTGTAATCTAAGTGTAGTTTACTGTGTAATCAGTAGAGAGAATAAAAAGAGAGAAAACTTTGGTGAGGCATTATATCAAAATTATTATGAGTGTACTTAGAACCAAGAGTGAGTTGGTGTTCGGAGATAACATCAACAGAATTTTACGAAGTTATTCAAGGAGTTTTTGAAGAGAGAACACCCTTGCAACCCAAGGGGACTGGAGTAGGATTCACATTGAATCTGAACCAGTATAAAAATTCTGAGTGTCTTTAATTCCTGTGCTTTACTTGTGTCTTTATTTTTATTCTGCCTTTATTTTCAGTCGACTATTTGGTAAACTGGTCAACTACTTAGGATACAATACGAAAAATCGACAATTCACCCCTTTGTACTTTCATAAGATGCCATGGTGTTGAATCTAGGTAATGCTTTAATAAAAATATGGAAATATTACTCGACATATAAAATATTTATACAGTATTTATCATTTGTAGTTACACTTTCAGCAAATTTATCATTCGCAACTATATTTGAATTTTATAGCAAATTCATGAAATAAGATATTAATTATTTTGAACTGAATCAAGAGAGCAACATGCTCTCGTAGCTTAGTTGGTTAAAGCGCTCTCTTAGATAGCGGAGATCTAGAGTTCGACTCTCAAAAAGAGCATTTTATTTTTCTGTATTTCTGTATTTTGCCTTAGTTGTATTCGTTGCGCGAACGAATATAGTCAATACATGTTGTATCCTTTATATACATCCATATATGCAGTGGATACAAGTTGTAACATTTGTATACACCCTTGTATTTCGCCTTCGTTATAGTTGATACATCTTGTATTCGTTGCGCGAATGAATACAATTGCGCGAATGAATACAGTTGATACATGCTGTATTCATTGCGTGAATGAATATAGTTAACACAGGTTGTGGTCGTTGCGCGTTTGAATACAAGTGATACAAGTTAGTAACAATTGTATAGTAAATATGAATGGTAATTAGGCAACTATAGTTATTAGACTCTAAACTATAGTAATTTATGAAAACTCCTCTAAAAATATCACCCAATTCGAAGGTGAGAAGGAGTTTAGCTTAGAGGAATCAATTCATTAATAGGTAATCTCAAAAATTCCATAAACTTATGTAATATTCACGAAGAGATCATCCCGAAAATTTTATAATATTATGGAATATTCATGTAGCGATTAAAGGCATATCAAATAATATCTTTCTCAAAGCCGAAGTGATCAAGAGGTGTTCTTCCTTCTCATGGAGATCAAATACATTCCAAGGAAGTTTGCATCATTTTGCGTTCAAGAAACATGTTTTTTCAGCCCTCGAATCACGGATAATAATTCGAAGAGAAGAATCGAAAGAACAAACAGAATTGTACCCACAAAGATTCATCAATAAAATTATTTTTATTTTAAAAAAACTCATTAATAAGTATATGAAAAACAAAATGATAATTTAACTCAATATGTTCGGTTTTCTAGTAGAAAATAAAATTCTTGGCAATATGTGTTACACTCTTTTTACCACAGTGAACCAAGATAGATAAGCTATAGTTCATAGAGAGATCATACAATATTTCTTGTAGCCAAATCAATTCAGATACAAGCCTTCAGATGGACAGTGCTCGACTTTAATTGAAAATAAGAAAATAGTAGTATGTTGTTTCTTCGATTTCCAGCAAATTTTAAATTTACAAGCAACACAAAATAACTAGATATTGATTTTCTAAAATTTGGCAAGAAACCTAGTCATAATCATAAAAATGCAGTAAGAGTGAGATCCCCGTTATACGGTCCTTGACCAGGTTTTATAATGTCCACGTAACGAAGAAATATCATGAACAAATCTTCGAGTGAGCCTCTCTAGAATTTGGCATGAATTGCAAAAGATGATGCACAACAAAATTAAGATTGGCACGTGTTTGGTCAAAAACTTTAATTTGCCAGTTAACCTATTCTGACCTGTCCGCATGAGCGATGAAATTGGCCTAACCTAAAAAGCTTGGGGAGAGTAATTCCCGGAAATTAAAAGGACTGAATTACATTTCTAAATAATAAATGCTAACCATGTTCATCCTTTTGATCAGTAACGTGAGACATGACAATTTACTTTTGATACGGGTGAGTCGTAAGCCTCAAGACATGTGACGTAAGTCTCATGAATCTTTAAAATTTTAAAATTTTAAATTAATAATATAGTACAATAACACAAAATAATATAAAAAAATACATTACTAGTTTATGAAAATTAAAAGGCATTAACGAACCTCATAACAAATAAATATCAAGCATATTTTTACTAGTATAAACAATGCAAAATTATTAAAGTTATTACGAAATATAAATCAACTATACGTCTTAACTTTCAAACAATTAAAAATCACAATCTTAAAAAATATTCTCAAAGCTACACAATTAACCTAAAAGTAAATAATCAATAAATTTCATCAGTACTATAACTTAAAACATTGTTCCTTTCATGAGTAAATACAAAATTGCTTTTAAATAGCATAATACACAAGAAAGTATTATAATTTAGAGAGACATAAAACTGAGACATGAAGATATAGCAATTAAAGATATAAATTTTTGCTATCTTATAATTTTTATATTCCTATAGATGAATATAACTTTAATTATATTAAAGAATTTTAAGAGTCTAACAATCATAATTAGTGAATTTGACGTATGATTTGCATATAAACTATTGTGCGAGCCTTGAGCGTGAAGAATCAGCAAGAACTTAATTTCTTAATATCTCCAACTTGGGTCTTTCAATTTTTGTGTTAACTGAGCTGATATCTGCCTTACTGCAGAAAATGTATGGTTAAAACGTCGATTCAGTTCAACCCCACATGCGGCTACAACCCCAATAAACAACATTGTTGTGTGCATTTCTCTTTATTAGCTAGCTGTTGATTATAACTTTTCACGATTTTCTTGGATTTGGTTTATCTGATGAATTAACTTTTTATTTTTCATTCAAGCATTTGGGTTGTGGGATGGTGGCATTAGACTTTTTGGTTACTGTTGATTCTTATCCTAAGCCTGATGATAAGATTCGTAGCACCAACTTTCTGTGATTGATTTTTCTTTAGTACTCTTCTGCAAAGTTGAGCTCAATTTCTTGATTTGGATTGAAATTTCAAGGGATATTTGGCTTTGTATAGGTTCAAGGAGGTGGGAACACTGGGAGTGCTTTGACCTGTCACCTGTGCAGCTCGTTTGGGTTTAACTCCGAGAATTATATCAAAGGTCTGAACTTTATGTGCCTTCTTGTTGCTATTTCATTTGTTTTTTTTTCATATTCATATTTGACAAAACTTCAATTCTATGTTATAATTGCGTCTAAGTTGTTAAATGTGTTTTCCTTAGAATATGTTTTTTTCCTATGGTGAAATCATTATTCATGTTTGGTTGATCTTAATTATTGTGTATATTTCTTAAATGAAAAAAAAATACAGATATCTCAAATGGTTATACAGTTTCTCATGTTTCAATCTTATTGTAATCATTGTTGTCAAGGTAAAATATTTATCATACAAAACGGATCTTTTACAGTAGACAAATGATGATTGCACCAATAAGACTAAGACATAATATCATTTTAATGTCAAAGAACATCAGTTTTATCTTACCTAGGGTGTGAGCTTCTTTAACTTGAATCTTTGATGCTTTAGTGGATTTGAGAAAAATAAAAAAAACATGCTTAGCTCCAGCCACCTTGATTTCCTAGAGAGTGATTTGTGAGAACAGTTATCCTTCTTGTTTCCTTGGAGAATGGATTGAAGAAAATAAGTCTCTAATCTCAAAATGGTTCTTACTAAAATTTGAGAAGGTGAAGTTATCCTATAATCTGAAGCGACTGCAGCATTTAATGTTTACATAGAATAGTATGTCGAATAAGAAAATAAAACTCACTACTCTGATTCACTCTGCTGCTTTACTGTTGCTGCCACTATTGTTGAAAAGGGGTTGAATATCATTGATTGTCTTCCTGGATACTCTTCTTAAGTTCCTCTATTCCCTTTCACTTCTAACCCCTCCACAATATAGAATTATTTACATTCTCACAAACTCTTTTAGTAGGTTGCGGATGATTCCCAAGGGAAAAGAATACTGAATGAACTAGAAGCTGATGGAATTGATGCATCTTTTATTGTGGTGAGCTAGCCAAACACCAAAGTTCTTGTGCATTTTAGCCTTTACTCTTGTATGTAGCCCGTTGCATCTATTCACAAAATCACAATTTTAAAGCATCCAATTTGTCTCTAACATCAGATTAAAACATACGTTACTTCAGGCCATTGTGTTGGTTTCAGGTGTCCGAAGGGGGCCATTCTACAATCTTTTACGTCATTGTTGACAGTCAAACGTCAGTACTCTCAGCTTGTGTTTATTGCCATTTTAGTGATTGTGCTTTCTCCTTGGTAATGAGACCTATGTTTTATAACTACTAGCTTTGTAAATTCATGTTGTATGCATATTCATCTGATATATTATTTCATTGAAGTGTCTGGATTAGCAACAATATTTTAATCACCCACACAGAATTATGTGTTTTTAATATTTTGTTTGTTAGTGGACTCAAAAATGTTAGAAAGTGTTTAATCATAAATCTTGTAAGCAGTATGTTCTGTTTACATTAATTCCTCGAGTACAAAGATTGGCCTCTTGGCTACGTGTCTGGTTGATTCTTTCTGCCGTATTTCCTAGGAGGAAAAAGGAAGGTCGTTTATAGTTCACTCTCTGTACTGCATGTTAGTCTGTGTCACTTATTCTGAGGATTTTGTTGTATGATATCTCAAGAAAACGCGAACTTCCATCTACACTCCAGGGTATCCGCCGATGGTGTCTGCTGATCTGCCAGACTCGAGTTTGTTATCTGCATTAGACGGTGTGAAACTTGTATATACTGATGGAGTACTGCATGAAAATGCTTTGGTTGTGGCACAAGAGGTAGTTTACATTGGTCTTCTTTGTAACTAAAGTTGAGCTTCTGCTTGCTAGTAGAATGTATCACAGACAACTTCTGCTCATATTTCTAGTCTTCCTCTAAGCTCCAATAGACGGAGGGCATGGGGCTTACTTCTGTTTCTAGCTGTTGCTCTTATTGCCTCAGGACTTGCTGAATATTTTCAGCCAAATGAAAGAAACTCTATGCCCTTTGATCTCTAGTGCAGGCACATCGAAGGAGTATACCTATTGTGATTGATGCAGAAAGAAAAATAGAAGGATTGGATGAGCTTTTGCACTTGGCAACCTATGTTATTTGCTCAACAAGATTTCCACAGGCAGGCTATTTACTCCTTAAACTGCACTCAGATGTTTCCTGTGTTGCACATTTTGATTGGGATTTCATGGTTCTATTTTTTATTCTAATCAGCTGGCAAGTTTTAGTTTATTATGAACAAGAACCGTGCTACTCTCTCTCTCTCTCTCTCTGGTTTCGTGTGTCTCCAAAGTACTTTTAGCAACGGTTGCATTCTCCGCAAGGAGTAAACTTTGTTGATAATGTGAATAATGATCTTCCCTTAGTTGAAATTAGAATATCTTTTTGCCATTGTTGAAGACCATGTAATCATGGAGTAAGATTGACTTTGGTACAATTTCTAATCAAGGTCAATGTCAGCCTTTCCTTCCTGACTTGATTGAAATATCGAAATCCCTTCCCAGTCTTTCATAAGTATGTGAAAACTGATAAAAAAAGCTGTTGTCTCGTAGATATGGACTGAGGCTCCATCTATACCAGGTGCACTTATTTTGATACTTTTGAAGTTGCCAAGTGCCAAATTTGTAATTGTGACATTGGGTGAAGATGGCTGCATAATGCTAGAAAGAGCAGAAACTGGTATGCTGGCATGCTGTTTGTTCTTGCCATGAAAACATTTTGAGTATCTTATCTTGGCAAATGAAGCCTTCTCTTAGACACTGTGTTTTCTTTCTCATCCTTGCTTTATAACTTCCATTTAGTATCTTTGCAGGGGATGTCCAATATGAAGAAGTTGACATTGATGACTTGTTTGAAAAGATGAAGCAGAGCATAGATACTACCTCAACCATGCCGACATGCAAATCCTCGGTAGTTCACCCTTCACTTTGTGAGGTTTTCTTTCTTAGTGCATAAAAAAAGCTTGATGATCGTGCACACTATTGTACTTTCTAGTTTGGAGTTGTTTACCACCGTAAGATTGAAACTGCATGGGCTTTATCTATGTCATCCAGGTTTAGGTTTCTTGTCTTTCATGTGCTTCAAAACTCAGTTGCTTGTATGGAAATGTTCATTCGGGTTGAGGCATGTATGAACCTTGCTCTAGATATGCATATCTAGTAGGTTTTCTGTATGGTCCTTCAGACAGATATGTAGCCTCCACATGTTATTGTCACTCTCATATTAGCGCAGTTTGATTTTTATAATCGACTGCTTCCGATGAAATTGAAGCTAGTAGTACTTAAACGATTATTAGGCTATGATAATTTAGCGCAAGAAATGTTACTCTTCCAGGATGTAGCAAAGCTGCACGCAAAAGGGACTGGAACTTTGAGTGGTAGGCTGTTGGTTGGAACAGCTGAGAAGATACCATCTTCAGAACTAGTCGATACAACTGGTGCTGGAGATGCATTTGTTGGAGCAGTTCTTTATTGTACGTGAAATTATTCTATGCACCTCTTTATCGCCTATTCTGCCACAACTGTTCTTACATTATTAGTGTGCCGTAATCTGGCATCTCTCTTGCTCCCCCTGGCTAATTGAGGATATTTACAAACCTTATCCCTATTCCATATGTTTTCATAATGGTTGGTTTTTTCATAGGTTTACTCCTGTTATAGGCATATAGCTATACTGTTTTTTCCTAATATTTGCTTGGTTAAGGTTGATGCAAAGGGGTTATTGCATCTATTCTGATTTTAATATCAATGTTCACTGCATGGCTGGTGGTTTATTTTTTAATGTTTTGTTCAATGTCTTATAAAAGTTGTATCTGTTTATTGTTAGTAAGCTAGCTTTAAGTGACTAGATCATGCTCTCATTGATGTCTCATCGCACGGTTTCGCTAAATGAATTTGCAGCTCTCTGTGCCAATTTGCCAGCAGAAAAGATGTAAAGTTTTGGTGCTCAAGTGGTAAGTAAACTTGAGATTTATAGAGGCAGTACTGGATCTAAGAGAAGTTAACTTGTGGTTTGCGGATTAATAATTGCAGGCAGGTATTGGTTGTAGAGCCTTGGGAGCAAGAGCTGGTCTTCCTCTTCTGAGAGACCCTCGCTTGACACCCTTTTTAGCCTAATTAGAAGACCAGAGATAAGCAGTAGCTACTAGCTATGATGACTTAGGCTATTTCTTGGTTTCTTTCTCTATTTTTAATTTTATTATTTATGTTTTGGTTTCCATTTTGACACTAATATTTGACTAGTTTTGGTACATATGACCTGAAATCGGTTTGGACAAAAACTTTGAATTTATGCAGAAAGCAATGTTGAGGAACTTGCACCTTTATCAAGTAGATGGAACTCAGTGATCGCAGCTTTTAGTTCTGTGGTTTACAAAAGAAATGAAAAGAAAAAAAATTCAATAGCTTAATGTGAAATTTTTGTTTTCATTTACGGGTGGGGTTCGCCGACCCCAAAACTTTTTGCGACTGTGGCGTAGTTGTATTTATGGGTGAGGGCAGGGCCGTGAAATATAAGCATCAGTATACAATTCTAATCATTGGATCATCCAATTTGGATTTTGCATTTTATTTATGATTTTGCTGTTTTTTTGTGGAGATATTTTATGTTGTGAGACAGTGATTTCGAAATGAAATGTTATGGAAGTCAACTGTGTAATTTGAAAACTCAATAAGGCTTATCTAGTATGATTTGTCCTAGATCTGCCTCTATCGTTTAAACTATAATTGGATTTTTCGATATATTTTCCGTTCCTTAATTTAATGAAGTAAAAATAAATAGAAGGGGGACGCTGTTTTAGAAAAGATACAATAGTTTTCGATTCCCTTAATGATCTAGAATTAAGATGATATTACATTTTCACATCTTCAGAATATCCTTACATCTCTCTAGGCTATCCCAACCCCAGACAGTCCACAATCAACTGCCTATCTTGCCAAAAGAAGAGATTTTTACATGGATAATCTTTTATTTAATAATATTTTTATTAATAACATTACTTAATGTTTATTTCATAAATAGCCTTTTTTTTAGAAGTATGGTAGGTTTCAAATATTATGCGCAAATTAAGCAATAAACAGAAATCATTTTCTCTTTTCCTTACTGGATTCTCTCCTATATATCCCCATTCCTGTCACGACCCAAACTTCCTTCCATAAGATGTCGTGATGACACCTAATCTCTAAGACTAGATAACCCTAACAATTGCGGAATAACTGAAATAATGACTAAGCTTCAACGATATATACGTAACTGAAAACTGCCGCTCGGCATGTACAACTAAAATTGCCACTCATAGTAAGAACAACTCCCAAAACCCAGTAGTCACAAGCCACAAGTTCTAATGAAGTACTAAATATCTCTATACATAAGCGTCTAAGAGAATAATAAAGACAACATAATAAGGATAGAGTAGGGACCCCGAGGTCTGCGGTCGCTGGCAAATATACCTTGAAGTCACCAGGCAACGACACACACCCTCTGCTAACGAGGCTGGTAAGATGTACCTGGGTCTGCATAAAAATATGTGCAGAAGTGTAGTATGAGTACACCATAATGGTACACCACAATAAAACCTCGGTAGAGTAGTGACGAGGTCAGGTCAAGGCCCTACTGGGATATAAGAAATAAGGCAGAAGATGAAATGATAAAAAGGAATGGCAGATAAGTGAAGCAGTAAGAATGTACGGAAAGGCAACAACACAGGAAAACAGGAAGATAATTACAACACGTAAGGAAAAAACATCTTACAAGTTAAGGAACAACAATAACAAAACAACATAGCAAGAAAAAGGAACTCAACAGGGGGACTCCCGAGGTACTGCCTCGTAGTCCCAAAAGTAAATATCTCACAACAGCACGACAGAAATCTCGTGCCACTCACACGCGCACGGAAGAAATCTTGTGCCAATCACACTTAGCACGGAAGAAACCTCGTGCCAATCACACTTAGCACGGAAGAAACCTCATGCCAATAACACTCCGCACGGAAGAAACCTCGTGCCAATCACACTCCGCACGGAAGAAACCTCGTGCCAATAACACTCCGCACAGAAGAAACCTCGTGTCAATCACACTCCACACGGAAGAAACCTCGTGCCAATCGCACTCCGCACGGAAGAAACCTCGTGCCAATCCCCCAACAGTCAACTCAGCATGAATCACAGAATAATCATCACGTAATGAATGAAACAATGATATAACAAGCAAGGAAATTCTACAGTGAAAGAACAAACACGGAAACCAAGGAACAACAGATAATTCAGCTAAACATGTTGTACAAATATCAATTAAGAGATGAGATACGTAGACATGTGAACTGAGGCTAATCATGATGACTACACGTGCTAGAATAACTCGGTAAAGGCATAAAAAGGAAACTAATTAGCAAAGAACTGAATTTCAGCATTTAGCTCGTGTACGCACTCGTCACCTCGTGTACACGTCACTCACATATCACAAAGTGTTACAACAGTATCAAATCCTAAGGGGAATTTCCTCCACACAAAGTTAGACAAGTCACTTACCTCAAATCAAGCTCAATAAGTCAATAAAAATGCCTTTCCCTCGACTTTCCGACTCTAAATGGCCCAAATCTAGCAAAAAGCAATTACATAATATAAATACAACTATAAGAAACTAATTTAAATAATGAAACTATGAATTTAGCATATAATTAAAAAATCACCCCAAAAAGTCGACTCGGGCCTACGACTCGGAATCGGGTAAAAGTCACAAAATCCGAACACCCGTTCAACCATAAGTCTAACCATACCAAAATTACGCAAATCTGATACCAAAACTTTGATCAAAACCTCAAAATTCGGTCTAAGAACCTCATACCTTTTCCCCCAATTTTACAACCCATATCTTTAATTAAATGAAGAAATTAACGAATGATTAGTGGAATATAATAAAAAATGAGTATAGAATCCTTACCCAAATGTTTCCTCTGAAAATCTCTCCAAATTTCGCCTCAATCCGATATATCTAGGTTCAAAAATGGAAAATGAAATCAAACCCTCGAACTTAGGCCTTTTCTGCCCAGCGATTTCGCATCTGTGGACTCCCAGTCGCACCTGCGATGCCGAACCTGCAGAAAAACCATCACAGGTGCGGATTCCACTTATGGCCAGGGTTTCTGCATCATCGGACCAGGTCTCGCACCTGCTAGCCCGCTTTTGCGGAGACCTTCCGCTTCTACAACCATGACCTAGGCTGGCCTTATCCGCTTTTGGGATCACACCTCCGCATCTGCGGATGCGCATATGCGGTTCTCTTTCCGTACTTGCGATCCCAGTAGGGCCAAACTAGCTTTGCTCCTGCGGCCACATGCTCGCAGGTGCGATGACACCAGAACAACAGTGCTTCAACAAATCTTCCAACTCCAATTCGATCTGTTAACCATCCGAAATTCACCAGAGGCTCCTAGGACCTCAACCAAATACACGAACAAGTCCTAAAATACGGTACGAACTCAGTGAAGCCCTCAGATCACATAAAAAAATATCAAAAACATAAATCACACTCCAATTCAAGTCTAATGAACTTTAAAACATCAAACTTCTACATCTGACGCCGAAACCTATCAAATAAAGTCCGATTGACCTCAAATTTTGCACACAGATCACATTTGACATTACAGACCTACTCCAACTTCCGGAATCAGAATACGACCTCGATATCAAAAGGTCTAACCCCCGTCAAACTTTTCAAAAATCATTCAATTTTCCAACGTTCACCAAATGTGACCCAACCCTAGTGTGTAAACTTATTGGGTGTTTGATTTATTGCTTGTTTATGGTTGGGTGTTGATTATCTAGCCTCGTTCTTGCTTTAAATTGAAGATTTAATGGTTGGAAACATTATTTCATGCTTAATTGACTTGGTCTCTACTTGAGAAAGAGAGACTCAGTCTAGGAAAACTTGGCTAGCAAGGAACTGGGTCAATCGAGAGATTGATAAACCCAATTAAGGGTTGAACCTAGATATAGTAAAATCCGACTTGATCTTATTATCAACGACTTTGTTTAATACCTATTTGGACTTGAGAAAGCCAAATTAGGTAAAATCAGTCTCTGACCGAGAGGTATTAAGTGGGTATTTGAGAGTTGATAGCTATAACCTACCCCGACCAAGAAAATAAGCTTTAATGCTTACAACCCATTAAGCGAACACCTAGGTGTAGGTCATATCCCTAGGCCTTTTTACCATTTGAAAAACAAACAAAAACAAAAGGCTAGTTTTAATACTTAGTTGTTATTCTTAGTTTAAAATAGATTTAGAAACAAACCAACTTTTGTGGAAGTGCAATTCGAGATAATTCAAGCTCATTCACTCTAATATATACTCCTAAGTTCCATTCATAGATCCTTGTGGAAAATTGACCCCGACTCCTTGTTGGGTACTATTATTTCTCTGATCATTTCATAACCTCGAATAGAGGTGTGGCTTGGACGAGATCAATTTTTGGCGCCGTTGCCAGGGAGATAATAAATGATTTAGCTATATATTTAGTTTTGTGTGTGAATTTTCTCATTTTCCTTCCTTGTCACTAATGTGAGAATTGTAAGTGCAATCATGGCAAACAACGAGCTCAGAAACATAGTCGTGGTGGATGTGGACGTTGATGAAGATGCAATGGATGGGGTCCCTCTTGAGCCTCAAACCAATAGACGAGTCCGACCGCCTCACGACAATGTTCATGCTCCACCCCACCTCCACCACGAACGTCTCCACACCAGGTGTTGCCGAATGAAGGGTACGCAAGTGCTATAGTCCTACCCCTGTATTAGGGCGGACAACTTTCAAATAAACAACATGATGCTCACTTTGCTCGAGCAACGAGGGTTCTTCTCCGGTGCACCGGGTCAAAATGCCTATAAACATTTGAAGGGGTTCGTTTATACGTGTTGGGGAAACAAACAAACAAATGTCTCCGAGGATGCTTTGAGGCTAAGGCTTTTTCCCTTCTCTCAACGAGGGAAATCTTTAGATTGGTTGGAACGTTTGCCAAATCATTCCATTCGGACATGGGATGAACTTGCGGAGAAATTAATTTCAAAGTACTTCTCTCCCGAGCACATGGCTATTCTTCGGGATAAAATTCTAGAATTCAGGCAAGAGCCTAATGAACCACTACATGAGATATGAGAAAAATATAGAACAATGGTAAAAGAGTGACCCAACAATGATATGACAGAGAACATGATTCAACAAACTTTCTATCGGGGGATCAATACCACCAACCAATGTGTAGTGAATCAACTTGCCGACGGAAACTTCATGACTACGCCTTATGCGGAGGCATGTGATATTTTGGATAAGATAGCGGATACTTCATCAGCGTGGCAATCTAGAGCCAATGTTCCACAAGGTGATCCAAATGTGATTCTTCTTCATAAAGAGTTACATGACCATGGGCAAGCCATCACCGTGTTGACAACCACCATGAACCAATTGGCAAAGGCTCAACTTCAACAAGTGCAAAACCCAAGGAAAGTCAATGCTATGGAGGGAGTCAATATGATGGTGAACAAGAGACAGTATGATGGTGAACAAAAGATGAACAATAAGTCCACAAGTGCAACAAAGAGTGGATA